ATTACTTTCAACTTGTCGTCGGAAACGAATAACAACTGTACTGATACGTTTTTACAATAATATAAAAATAGTAAACATTAAATACGAAACATTTTCAATTATAAATAACATTACGACAATACGTTAATATTAATATTTATTTTTAATGAGCTATGGTATGAAAATAGTACTTTGTGCTATACAGAGTGATTCTTTTATTGAACAACATTCATTATTTCAAAATCTATTGACATTTTTGAAAATATTAGTTTTTATTATTTTACTTTTTTTTAAACTTTTCACTTTTTTGAACGACGACATACATTTTAAATTTCTTATTCTGGAGCAAAATATTTTTCAGAGTATTTTGATATATAAAAATCAAAATTCGAACATGTAGCTTATGTATTGAAAGTATTTAAAATTTTGGTGTGCAGAATAGTAGACCAACATTTTGCGGGATATCCCCTATAAACTTTAAATACTTATAACTCTTAAACTATTTGTCCGAATTTCGATTTTGATGTATCGAAATACTCTAAAATATATTATGCTTTAGAATATGAAATTAAAAAAATGTATTCGTTCAAAAAATTTAAAAATAAAAATAATAATAACGATAAATAATATGTTTTATTTCAACTGAAAATTGTGAAAAAATTATTTTATGAATGTTGTTCGATAAAAAAAATCACCCGGTACATTACACAAATCGTACGTCAAAACTGTATAAATTTACAAAATATAATAGTATTTTTTCAGTATCTCAGATTATTATTTTGAAAAAAACTATATAAGATTAGATGTAAATATTTATTATAATTGGCTGTTGTAAATTGTATTTTATATATTCAACATTTGTGCCGTTTTTGACAATATCATTAGCTAACTACCAAACATTTCAATATTCATTAATTTATATTGTTTTTATTTTTAATCAATAATAATCAAATATTATATTGTTTATTAACGTTTACCTTAATTTTGTATTTAATAGGCAATATAAATTAATTCGAATATAATGAGAGATTATGTTCTAATAGTTATTATATTATCGTTGAAGACCGTAATTGTGATTAGTAATTATACGATTATCATTTATTGAAACTGTTTCTTAGAGCATATAAAATAAGATATTAGGTATTGAATTAAAAAAAATAATAAATACAATTTGACAGGTATATGTTTTGTATTATATTTTTAAGAAAATATTTGAACACTGTAAATAAATGTGCGCTATTAAATATCATAAATACTAGATGAATTAACATTCATTCCAAAATAACTAAACTATTTAGAATCTTATGTCAATTTATATTTTCTGCCACAGAAGACAAATTAATTGGTATTGAATAAATCAATAGAAAGATTATTTGAGTTCTTTTAAATAAATTTTATTCCAAATAATTTAGGTAAGTTTTGGAATGGTTGAAAATCAAAATTTATAAATAATGCATCAATATAACATTAAATATAGATACAAATAAGTATTTGATTATAGCACAATAAATAATAATGCCAATGAGTAAGAAATATAAAATAAACTTAAGTATTGGAGAAATCTGTTTGTTACAAATTTAAAACTACTTATTTGTTGGTACTGATTAATAAATTAAAAAAAAATTTAAAAAAGTATTTAGAATACGTATTAAAAGTTAAAATATAAATAAAAATTATATGCTCGATGTATCTAAAATATTATTTGAATAAAAATAAATGTTCAAATATTTATGTTTTAATACATCAATTCAAATACTTTTTAAGTGGTAATATTAACATAAAAGAAAAAATAAACTTCACTTTTCAACATTTGCTATCTAAAATATGAGCATTTCTGTTTAATGGAATATCAAAGAAGAAAACTTCTAAAAAACGTATAAATAAACTTGAGCCAAATATTGTAAATCCTGTCATTTGTTTAAAAACTTAGAAATAATAATGATTTATTTATTTGAGTAAAACAAACAGAAACCTAATTTTTAACAATTGATAGTAAGCTTAAATTAAATCTAACATGTTAATAAACAAAATAAAATGGTTATAAAAATAAATATGCATAGTATACGAAAAATAAAACAGTAGTAGATAATATATAATAAGGTATAAAGTAATATCTTACCTATGGTAAGAATATATGGTACAATATAATGTATCAGAATTTTAAGTGATGCTTAGATTATCATATTTAACGGATCAGAGAAGAAATCAAAGTCAAAATAATTTATGATTTATTGAACCATAGTTTTAATTAGCGGTTAGATTTCTGTGAAGTTAGCATTTTGAGGTGGAACTATGGGACGTATAAAAGCGGGGAGATTAATGATAGTGAAAAGGGACTTTAAATTGGATACGATTTTTAAATAAGGTGTGATTTTAAAGTAAGCTATAATAACTATAATTATTAAATACTTAATAAAAAATAATAAAAGAAAAAGAAAAGAGCGTTTGTAATCATTTGCCGTTGTACTCGTAAACGTAAAATATATACTTTCTAGAAATCGAAATTAAGTATCATGTGAATAAATGAATAAATATTTTTTTAAATTATCAATATTCATGATTGTTAATCATATTTAAAAAAGTGATTATTAACAATATTTGCAATATTATCCTATTATATTTGATCATATTAATATATTTTGTTATGTATTAATTCTATCTTCTATCAATATAAATATCAACGTACTATCAATATTGTTATCAGTTTTTGATGTTTTTTGTAGTAAAAATATAGATAAACTTTTACGTTTCTAAAATAAATCACCTTCAATAGAAAATAATATCATATCGTGCAATGATTTTTAAATAGATTAAAATCATTAATAAAAAAAATTTTAAAAATAACAATTTGTTTATGAAAAAACAATTTGTATTTATCTTAACAATAATATTTATTAAGTAAAAAATATAAATGATTATTTTGAAATGTTTTATTTTATTTTTCAAATGTCTATCAAAATAAATAAGATTTAAATCATAGTACAAATTCAATGGACTTACCACACAAAGTCTGAAATTGCTTAGTGTTACCACTTATAATTGTTGTCACTTAAAAAATATAATAATATTTGAAAAATCGACATCCGCTCTATTTGACACAATATTAAAAAAATAATAATAATAATAAAAAAATTATAATAATAATAAAAAATATTGTTTATTTGGTTATTTAAAATATTAAAAGAAATAGCATCTATTTTTTTTGCCGGATAGTCATTATGTTCTACAGCTGTTGAGTAATCAATGGTACGTCAGTGTTAACGAGTCAAAGTTTAAGGTCTAGTAAAGTAGGGATTTTATCATACATATTTTCTTGTCTTATCGTTAAGAAATGAGAAAACTCGTAATATTGATATTTAATGAATGAATTATGTCCAGTATTTATGTAATTAAAATATTAAATAATGACTCTACAGCGCATATCTATTTACAGCTTGAATATCGATTATTATTTAATTATTCAATAATTTACAAAATGAACAATGTACATATTTTTCCATAAAATTATAAATAGAGATAATATTATATGTGCCTATTTGAACGAGTAAATATAGTAAAAATAACTATAATTATCAATTTATTAAACATGCATAATAAAAAATAGCTGTACCTATTTAAATAGATTGCACTAATAATAATTTTTAGATTATTCATTCAAGTTGATTCGGGGAAAAAAATACAAAAACAATTGTTAACGTTTAATTAATTTAATGGTCGATCCAAGAGCTATCCGTACTGTTTTACAATCACGATAAAAGAATATTATTTTATATTATGGGAACTAATGACCAAAACGTGAATTGAATAAGTTTATACAAATCCGGGAAATACTTTAGTAACTATACTGCCTAGTGTTGACCTCAGTCCTATACTGTAGAAAAATTGCAATCAGAGTCAAGAACGACGAATATCTATTGGATTATTACAATTTTTAATATTGACACCTAAGGTTTGAAAATGTAATACAATGTTCTATAAAAATTTTGATTATAAGAGTTATAAAAAAAATTGACTGTAACTTAATGCATTTTTTGTTTATAAGTATATGACGTTTAAATTCTTTTAAGTTATATTTAATCCGAACATCAACGAGTAATTCGAAGTTATATTTACAATAATGGATGGCATTGGATTCAAAAAAAAAAAAAAAAAATACACGTATTTTAAAGTTTAGCTAAGCTTTGTGAAGTAATTAATCAAGTTTTTGAGTTTTAGGTAATAATTTTGTAATTAATACTATGATCATACATTTAATATTAACATTTGAGGTTAAGATGTAGTATAAGTAATGATTTGTTTAATACCGTTATACTTATGCATGTTATATGAAATTCACTAACGACTTCAAAGAACGGATTCATTAATTTTTTAAAATTAATTTGATTTAAAACTTTAAAGTGAAGTATGGAATAAATGTGTAGTTCATTTTTAAAAGAAACACCAATATTTTTACATATAAATTAAAATACTTAATTATTTTCCATGTTATAGATTGGTAGATTGGGTTTTTTATTACATTTTATAAAAATAACGAATCTTAATAAAGCAATTCAGGAAGTAATATATAAACAAATAATAAAATCAGTTTTAAAATAAATATTTTCTTTGATAAAATAAGCTAAATATTTCACAAATCAGGTCGAGTCTTTAAAATTATTCTAAAAAGTTAATAAACACTGAATAAGAAAATGTTTTGTGGTTTATAGTTTATTTTCGGCTTATATTTCATACTTTATTATTTAGTAAGTACAATTAAAGTTCGATAAATAAAATAATATCTATTTAAACGCGACTTAATCATTATCAATATTAATTGTATAAAAACATTAAAAGAATAGTAAAACATTTATTAGTTTTTCACATTATGTTATAATAATACACATTATTTATATATATTCCTTAGTATATAAATATAAAGTTAACAATAGGTAAAATAGTAAAAAAAAATATATAGTAACTTACAAGTTTATAAATATAGTATACAAAAGTATAATTACATAATAATAATAAAAAAAAAACAATTATGCTTTACGTTCACAGATATTCTTCATTTTCATTTCGTGTAATGTCATTGATTCAATTCCATTGAGATCAGGTTGATCTATAAAAATAAAATCATATGAACAATTAAAAATACACGAAATAGTTTGTGTATATTTATTACAACTCATGCCTTTAAACCAGGAAAAATGAAGGGTTTTGTCGCTTAAATAAAAGCTCAAGGCCTTGATAATTTTACCACTTGTTTTAATTACCTACTGCCAATTATGAACATAAATCCTTCGTCCTGCGTTTAATCAAAAATGTTATTTTTAAATTCTACATATTACTATTTACTATTCTAATAGTCAATTAAAAATTATTTTTTTTTTATAATTTTACATGGTAAATTGTACTATATATTTTAGTTATAACATTCATATACAATTAAAAAGATATTATTTACTTTCCTATACTAAGAATCTATTCACACTGTTTTACGGTACAGTAGTATTAATTCAAAAGTTAATAATATAATATGGTTTAAATTTATATTATTATAATAACTAAATACTTATAAAAAAATAAATGCAATGATTTTGATAAAAATTAAATCAACCTACGGTAATATTTATAGTAGGATTAATTACTGAAATAGAAATATTAAAATGTTAATAAAATTATATGAAAATATGTATTTGTGGTATAGGCTGACCGTAACCGACAATTGTAATATATTTTATTTTATTTTATTTTTTTTTTTTTTTGAGGAGAAGGCGAACACATTTAAGATTTAACTATCATTTTATTTAATCAATATTATGTAGTTATTATACATGTGACATACCGTAATTCCATAATGAAATCGACTTATTCACAGAAAATTAATTATTTCAAGAGATAATAAATATTTTTCTAAAAAATATCATTGTATGGGTACTTTTTGAAATTATATTTAAAACGCTCACTTTAGATATTTTTTTATGATTTGGCCATACACTTTTTGCTATGTTTATTCTTACATAATTAGAATAAATAAATAAATAAAATTAATTAAAAAAGCTTGATTAAAAATTAATAGATTCCAAAGTCAAACATTTTTTTTTAAAGTGTTTGATAAAAATTGCTATGTATAAAAAACCACTGTCAAAGTTGAAGATAAAAAGAAAATGTTTGTTCCAACATTAATACAAACAGAAAAATCTCAATACCTACATTCCTTGTTCTCTTCACAATTTAAAAATACTTATTATTTTTGAATATAATAATATTTTAATTATAAGATAATTATATCTGAAATTATAATATATTATTATAAATTGCTATAAAGATCGTATTGTAAAAATAATTACATGGTAATAAAATAATAATGTTTTATTTTTTAATTTATATAATTCAATATAAGTTATTTCTAAAGATCTTCTTAAAAGATAAAATTTCAGCGATTTAATGAAGAATAATAAATCATGTAATGAAAAGTGAAGGGATAACTCAATAAAAAATTATATGAAGTAAAATTATTCAGATCAATATCTTCACAAAAAAAGTGAGTACTTGATAGATATTTGCATGTTTTATAAAGTTTAAAAATTCGGTTTCAGCAAAATTGTCGATTTTACTAATCGATAGTTGCGAATTATATTGTATAGCTATATAATTTTGTGTACATACTAAAATTAAATTTCTTAATAGAATCTTGTAGCGGAACCATAGTCAAGATTTTGATGTTTAGCGTTGCTTCTAGTATAGCCGCTACACATTCTTTGGCGTTCATCAATTGGAGTTGACATGACTCGGATTTTAGTTCATTTATTAAAGATTTGATTCCCTAAAAAATAAAAAGCAGAGATTAAATCATAAACATAAATTACATTTTATAATATTTTATACTTATGATTTCCAATTATTATGGGTCGTGATTTTTTTTTTTTTTTTTATTTGATTTATCACAAACAGATTATAAGATCATAATATAATATTATAATATAATTGTTATACTAGAACCAGTATTACTGTATCTATTAATTCAATTAGAATTTTTTTTATGAGTCTACTGACAGGAAAAGGGTCACTATAATAATATTAAACCATATAAAAATGGTTAGGAAACACTAATTATAACGATTGTGTTATAATAATAATATTATACAAAGGGTAGGATAAGTGCACGTACTTGAGCAGCCGTGAAATCGGTTTTGTCAAAATGCACGCAGTCCACGATTATGAGATTCGGTTTGTTCGGGCGTTCTGAAGACGACATCTCGGCAATGATTCTCTGTCGCATGAAGTCCACGGCTGGGAATAGTAGCCCACTGCTGGGCCTGACTACCCATTTTACGTAACCCGAGTTCTAAAAAAAAATTTAAATTATTTTGGTATACAACGTAATAATATTACTATGTTGTAACAAAGTTTCACCATGACAGCTAAAAAATTATAATACCTAGGTTATTATTGTTAAATTATGTAGAATAAAAAATTGTATACTCATATGGAAAAGTATATATATATATATAAAAATTGTTCTGTTCCAAAATAATATTATTTGTTTTTAAATTTCAAACAGGCAATTTACTAATTATGATTTAATAGTAACATTTTCATATTTTTTTAGAATCATTATTGTTTGTCTGCAAATTAAAAATAAGCTTTATACTAAAGTAATATTGTGATTATTAATATATTATTGTAATGTTAGTTGTTAGTAGATAAAAAAAAATTGCTTATTTGATTATTTATTGATAACAAATTTAATTTATTTCTAAAACTTACTAAAAAATTGTTTTATAAATGTTAAGTCATGGTAAATAAATAACAAATTAAACTTTAGAATTTACTGTACGAGTATTGGACTAGAATTTATTTTACTTTTTATATCAAATCATTTATACAAACAATTTAAATAGAAATAAATAATAATTATATTAATGGAAAATTCGTAATTTTGAAGGGTTGATAGAATGGTAAAATGATTTGCGATGGAAACGGAAAAAACTTATTGTATTGAGTTTACTCACAGTTTCTTTTTCGATAGCAATCGATGGTCTGGCGCTGCGATAAAGCACGCACAGCAAGTCGACACAGATGCCAAACAGAAGGCCCAATTCCACGTCGAATATCAAACATGCAACGAACGCGGTGGCAAACGGTATTAGATCACGTCCTGTGTAATAGAACCCAACGTATTAGATAATATAATTGAAGTCTTAACGTGTATTGTCAGCATTGTTAACATTGTTCCGTTTTAAACTATATTGGTACATATACATTTGTTATTATAAACAGACAGTATAAAGCGTCCCATTACACGTACCAGTGACGTAGGTACCTAATACATAATAGTATGCATACAATACGCTTTGTGTTTCGGCATATAATATTTTAACAATAAATTAAACATAAATGATAAAAATTTAATATTAAAATTCACAGTCGCATTATGGTAATGGGAAAAGATAAGAATTAAATTCGGAGGACGTAATAATATATCCGCGTGGCCATTTATTTAATGAGCGATGTACATCAAAATTTCACCAAGTCCAAATAGAGAAATATACAAGGAAGAAAGGAATACTGGAGTTTAAAGACCTACTTCAAAATTTGAAGTAGGTCAAATAGATATTAATATATTTATAGGTATAATAGATTATATTTTTTGTCAAATGTTACATTTTAGAAGCATGAAGTAAATTAAATAAAAAAAACGTAAATAGATCAACGCTTTAACTACTCCGTTAGACAATAGTATTAATAAGTATAAGTACATATAGATCTTTAAACATATATGTGACAAAATTTTGATTTTTTTTTTTTTTTAGTATCCGTTGAACGGAGGTGGTAATTCTCGCAATAACTCATAACTCATATATTGTTCTTTGTTTAAAGTTTGAAAATTATGAAGATATAATTAAAATGTTATTCAATTATAAAGTTCGTAAATTTAACAAATAAAAAAACAAAAGTATGGTTTTACTATGATATAATAAAATACAATTAACAATACAGAATTTAGTTATATAATTGATAATGTAATTTTTTTTTTTTAGTATTACAAAATATTACTGGGCTTCACTGAGTTAGAAGTATGCGTAATAAATAATAATACTTAAAAACTTTTTATATAATAACAATTTGTTAAATTATATTTAAAGTTATCCCATATAAAACTTTTTTTATTCCGAAAATGTTTTAAAAATTTCTATTGTTTTGAAATCATTTTCTCTATAAACATTGTAGTAAGTACCTATATTGATTTTTAATAAGATTGATTTGAGTATAATTTGAACTACTAATATATATATATATATATATATATATATATAATATACTCAGATATATAAGAAAATCAAACTTTTAATTAATAATTTATTTATCAACGAAGTTAACATAGGTTACTAAATGTAATTGTTACATACAAATTGAACTAAATATTTAATTCTATACTCATAGTAATTATTTTAGTTTTAGTTTTGGCAATAAACTATTAAGACGGTTGGTAACTAAATATTTTTAAATTATTTACAAACATTAGAATACCTTAACACTTTTTGTTTAGATTCTTATTTATTATTAAAGTTTCAGCTCAAGACTGAATAGTCAAGAAATGGACAAAAAATATTTCCGATTATGTAATATTAAGAATATTTCAAATAATTATACGTCTTATAAGCAATATATTTTTGTAGTTTTGTGGGTTTGATTAGGTCAATTGCATTGTTATGTTATAGATCACATAAAAAATGAAAGGTTACTTACTATTGGTTTTCCATAACAAAATCACCATGTCATATCGAAACATTGAAGTCACTGCACATATAAGTACGGCGGATAAACTAGATTTCGGTATGTAATAGAGAAATGGTGTCAAAAACAACAACGACAGCATGCCCAGTATAGCTATAATATGGTTTTTAAAACGTTAATAGTGTGTAAAACATACGATTTAATGGTTAGTTATTTACTAGTAAATATTGAGCTGAACGTTGTACGGACACCGGTAGTATGGTTAAGAGCAGACCTGGTCATACTTCCCGCAACGGGCATAGATCCCATAAACGAGCTAAAAATATTACAGAAACCTAACGCTATCATCTCTTGTGATGCATCGACGACTTTTCCACCGCCTATGAAAAAAAAAAAAATGATTAAATCATTTTTAAATTGTTATTATGTAATATTGTGCTTTGTCATTGTGATATGGAATTAATTATTTTTTATGTCCAACAGACGATTTTGAACATTATTTATCGTTCATTAAACACACTAAAAGTCAGGTTAACACATTTAAAATCAGTTCTTGAGCAAATATATATTTTATTATAATTAAGCATCACTGTATAATATAGTTTTAGTAAACATACAAAAGGCGTAGTTTGAAATTTAAAACTTTATTAAACTTGTATACATGACATAAAATATGTGTGAAATGGGTCACGTGATGCAGTGTTACAATTAAGTAGAGTAGGTAGCGTGAACGACAAGTGAATGTGGCGATACCCAAAGTAGTAAATACAAACATATTTTTTTTAATAAATGACAACTTAATAAAGAAAATTTAACACTCACTTGTACTATTCTTAGGATTTCCCTGACACAGTATATACAATTTGTCACCGATTTTAAATATTAAAATCGGATTAACTTACTGAATGCTTTAGCGACCGAAACTGTGCTCAAAATTGATACCAACGGAACAACTATTGCACCAGGCCATAACCTGGACAGACCTTCGAAAAATGTGAACTTCTCGTCTTCGTCTTCGTAGTCCGAAAACGGAAACCGAAATTGCGGTATGCCACTAGCGATATTACCTAAATATAAGAGATGGTTCACGGTGTTATAAATATATTTTGTTTATAATTAGAAATGCGTTAAGTACTGTTTATGTAGTGTTATATATACCTGTCAATACTAATGGTGACTGGCCTTGTCTAATTGAAAAATATGCGATTATCGATGATACGATGACCACGAAAACATTGCTTCCGGTGGTCAATAAAAATAGTATCACAGAATATGATTTTGCTTTGATTCCTTTAGCATTGACTTTTATGGTTTTTAAGCTCTAAAAACGAGATACGGTCTTTAATTTGACGTTCGACTTGCACTATATGTATGAAATATGAAATATATACTCACCTTCAATCCTATCAACACGAATATACATATAAGTCCCATAGCGGTATCTGCTATTCGAAAATGTTCAATGTTTTCAACAAACTTTATCCACATTTCCATACAGTTTTTCGCGTCAAAAGAAATTCCAAACAGTCCTTTCAATTGTGACGATGCCATAATGATAGCCGCTGCCGATGTAAATCCGCCCGTCACTGGCATCGATACGAACTCCACGACGAATCCTACATAAGGGAAGAAGAAAAAAAAACAATTTAGACGTTATTTACTTTAGTGAGTGAATCGAAGTGTACGCGTTGATCTAATTAAGTTTCACGTATACTGCACGCTATTTTAAAGTTATCCATACGTTGGAGAATCGAACGTCATTAATATTTCGAGGAGATATGTTAAACGTATATTTATATTACCCTTTTCATTTTTGCATTTTCAGATATCATATATTTATGCTCAAGCACACAATAGTTTATGCAATGCGACAGTGTTTATATTATATTATGGTGATGGACTGTCGTCTGTCAGGCAGACTTTAAAGAATATGTAGGCGAAATCAAAAACGAACATCCATATTAGATTTTTGACTAACGAAAGTGTACTGATTCACCGTTCAAAAATTAAAGTAAAACCAATCAGGTTAGGATCTAGAAAAATATATTTGAAAAGTAATTTAATCCAGATGCGTTAAAAAAAGAAATTTTATGTAAGTGCAGCAGTTATAGATTTATGTCAACTGTTTGGTGTATTTTACCATCGTTTTATCTGTGTGAAATTGTACTTAAAATTGCATGTCAACACTATTGTTATTATAGCACATTTATATCATTCTCATAATTATTTTTATTTGATATTTTTATTCGTCTTCTGTGAATTAATAGTGTATATTATGCATTATGAATTCATTCAGTAATCCAAAAGTCGTGTAATAGAATATTTTATGCGATTGCTCGTACAGAGTCGGTGCGACTATAGAATTGTTTCATTCTGCGCGTGTGTTACTATTTAATTTATATCCTTATAATATTATTATAAACCCGATCAAAGCATTAGGTTGTTTATAAAACCACTAAATGTACGCATCGTACACAATATTGAGACGTAGTATCTAAAAGGTTTCTAAACGAATTGCATTTAAGCATATTCGAAGAGACAACGACAATGGTATCAATTAGACAATATTTACATCGATAAAATGATGTAATTTTTCAATTTTTTTTTTTTTTTTTTTTTTTTTTGTTTTAATGGTTACTAACCATAACGTTAAGTGAAATAGAAATAGAAATTTAGTCGAATTTTATTTTATAAAACAAACTTGCTGTACCTAAGCGCAAAAGTCCACATATTAGCTCGACAATTCCAGACACAAAACAGAGAATTACCGCCGTGGTTGGAAACGCTGGATTGACGTAGTTGAATGTGAGCAATGCGACAACAGATGCAGGACCGATAGTAATTTGCCGTACTGATCCAAATACTATGTACATTACGCTACCGAAGCATGCAGCATACAATCCAAACTAACAAAATAATTCATATTGATCAATACAACGGAATAAAAAAAAACTAAAGTATATTAGGTAGGTATCAATTAAATGCGTCAAATTTATTTAGACATGATTTTGTCAAATGTTAAAGCACATAATTTACAAGCTGTTAAAGACAATTTTAATAATACGTAGAAAAGTTGGAAAAATATTTTTAGTTATATGATGATTTTTTTTCCGTTAAACAATAGATAAAATTATATATTATAGAGTCTATAATAAAGACTATAGTTTATAGGCAAAAGCGTATAGTATGTGGGTGTTTTACGCTGAAAAATTTTATCTTATTAGAATAATGATTAATCTATCTAAATAGATAATAGCATGCTCTTTGTTAATGAATATATATAAAAAAACGAATAGTGATATTTGTTTTTTATTCTTTGTAAATATTTAAACCACTCTGAATTTTATCGAATAAATTGTTCGGGAATTGGTATTTATCGATTATAATTATATTTTTGTTTATACACAAATATACATAAATACTACAACATTGGGCGATTGATAAGAATTTGAGTAATTGGATTAATTAAAAGTAGCTTATAAAATATTAAAATTGTTTTAATTTAATATCATTGATACGTTTTTATGGTCGAAATTTTGATAAAACAACACGCATGATGTATATTGTACGTATTAATTGTGAAAAAAAATTCAATTGAGAATACATCATTTTATAAATAAAAAGGCTCTCTCCTAATTATCGCAAAGAAGGGCTATTATTTATCAATTATTGTTGATTTTTTTAATAAGTTAATAGAAAACAACAATTTAAAATATTTATAATTCGCTTTTAAATTAAAATAAACATTGAAAAAACCAACAAGGAACTTAAATACTACTACTATTGTATTTGAGTTTGATTACAAGTACATTTCTTTTAACAACGAAAACAATTAAACTGGTGAGCTAAAAGGTGGAACGTACGTTTTGTGTGTTTAAATCTGAGAAGCAATGTGAATACGTGCGTTAATAACGATATGGCAATTAAATCGACATTATTGACATCTAAAAGAATTTAATCTAAAATATCTCTCACACGATGTTTATTTCATATAAAAGGGAATTTTGTTTAATATGAGGGTGGGTGTGACTGTGTGAGTATATTATTTTGGGTGGTAAATATTATAAAGAATATTAATAGCGTATCAGAGGGTGGTATATAATTGTATCAGTACAGTAATATTTTGTAAATTTAAGAAAATTATAAACATACATGCAAAAACTGTTTATTTATCATTGTAGTACAGAAGAAGAAAGAAGCTACAGTAAAATTTTCGGAATAATAGCTAAGTCAAATTTTATATTAAATTTATTATGTACCTTTAACTGTAGAGTAATTACGTTTCCTAAATTGTTTAAGCATTTTTTTTTCTATAAAAATGATATAGGTAATCGTTTAAAAATTTAACAATTTGCAAATATACATAATATACCATAATATTTTCTAATACTTGGGAGATATTTCGCATTCTTTGGTTATAGTTATACAATTTTTAAAAATTGTAAACATTTTAATTGATTTGTATAGTTTATCAGTTATTACTTTATTTTTTCAATCAATTAAAAAAATCAAACAATACTTATCTCTCTTGTCTTATCGTATTTTTGTCTAACTTATTTTCTTAAATAAGTATAACCAAATAATGAATATATTTTATGGTAATAATATATTATTTTATGCAGTACGTATCATAAAAGCCATATTATTTATTTATTATCCTCAGTAAATAATGTTTCAGAACTGCAAAACTACTCATTCAAATTCTGATTTGGGTAGGTCAACGGTAGGTCAACATTTATAGAAAAATTATCTGCTGAATAGTTTTAAGTAATAAAAAAAAAAAAAGGTTAATTCTAATTTGAAAAATACAAGTTTGTATCGCCCTCAAATCTCGAGCATTCGAAAATATTATGGTATCTGAGCGTATTTAAAAATTCCGAAAATCTTATTTCAAATAACTGTATCATCGAAAGTAAACAAGAGTGGTGAAGATGGATGACTCTGTGTACGCGTTGCTCATACACGGGTCAGTGCACTTACCAATGGGTCAAGTCCAGCCAGCGACGCGTATGCTATGGACTGAGGCATCAGCGTGAGCGCGACGGTGATACCCGACACAGCGTCGTACAGTAAGTCCGACTTCTTGTACTTCGGCATCCATGTCAGGATCGGCAAATAGCTGACCAGTAAGTCGTACAGACGGTCGCTACAGGATCCCGTGTGCACCATGATGGCGTGTTATTTTCCTCAGTGCGGCGATGTACTGTCCGTTGTGCATCAATCGTTTTCTGGTCGTGTGATGTTACGGACTCAGTTCTCCGAATAACACTGTCGATGAGTGGTTTCCGTATGGCAGTCAACTGTAACAAAAAAACAAAAATCGAAAATACTACAGTGAAACAATTGCTGATAACGAACAGAGTAGACAGTTTGGTTAATACGTCACACATCTGGTAATAAAATAAATCTTTTATATATAAAATATAACTACTAAATAATACCAATAAAAAAAAAATATCTGTGAAAAATGATAGAGGCACGGACTTATTATCGCTTTAAAAATTTAATGATGTATTAAATCATGATTTTATTGAAATTAAATGTCCACTAATGGAGGGCAACCCAATTCCATAGGATTCTATAAATCGTATTTGAGTTTAGATTCCAATATTATTATTATTCCCTTCTTTAACAATAAGTACCTAACTAATTTTTTTAGACATTTCATAATGTAATACACTTTAATAGTAAATGTTTTAAATTTAAAACATAATAATTTTATTTAGCAATTTATCGAAGCAATCGAAATATTGAAATTAATGATACATTTTTTTTATAAAAAGTATTTAACTAAAAATGAAATAAATAATACTTTTTAATTTTTAACATAATTTTCAGTTAAGAACTTTTTTTATAAAAATGTATTTGAAATATTTTCGTAATTAATTTTTCTTCATACACCTATCAAATGTATAGTACGATATGTAAAATATGTTAAATTTATATTTTATTGACTTGATAGATTGCTATAGCCTATAGCCTTTTGTATGTCTGTAATTTTCATTAAACATTATTACAAACATTTTTTTAAATTTAAAACCTTTTACGTAGTCGTCTAACAGTTCTAATGCCATAGTGTTCGTATTATAATATTTAATTTTTGGTGCGATTATATTACATTACACTGTCTTTACTATGGATGAATAGACGTGTGTTAAGCTTATTTAGTTTTTGAAATAAAACAATTGTAATTTTTCTTTGATTAATAATTCGTAAAAAATTTAAGCCATTTATATAATGTACTCACCACACAATATTTTTCTCAATTTATTATTATTATTAAATTAATATTGATATATACGTCGTAATAACTACTGCTATTAATTTATTGTTATACGCGTAATCGATTAACCGTACTCCGCATAATTTATTAAAATACACTGTTTATCTTTTTTAATAATAACTGTGACTAATACAATTAACTCAAATAAAATATAAAGATTGCAACCGTTTGTGCAGAAATTTTGAAACATTATACATAAATAACTAATTTATCATAATATTATACTCCTAATTTGTTTTAATATAATGAACGCTAAAATGTAAAATTTATCGATTTAAAATTTGTATCTCATTATGTAGCTCTAAGTCTTACATTTTTCAATTAAGATCTTGTATAACTTAACAAACTAATAATAATTAATATGTTTTTTCTAATTTTCAATTATTTGACTGATTTGTTGCGAAAAAGGCTTATACTTTATTATGATTCTAAATTTTATAGATTTACTATGTTCCAACATATTAGACATATAATATATACAAAATTAAATATTGATTTAAATATTTCTAATATTTGTATTTAATCTAATATAAACATTTATTTTTGTGTATTAAACTAGAGGACAGGATATGTTAAATTTAAATTTATAAAATGTATAAAAAAAAATGCAAATCTTATAATTTATAAATAATAACAACAATTTGAATTGAAATGTAATGATAAAAAATTACCTGATAAATATTTTAAATTTCTAATAGCTTGGAGGCAATAAGAGGATGTCAGCTGCGCACTATTTGTTCGCTCTCTCTGACCCTCTTGTGACATAGATAAAACGCATTCACGCAAAATTATTTTTATGGTTTTAGAACGATGATTAGAGTTAAATACTTATTAAAAAAATTAAAAATAGTATTGTTAGGATTTCACATGTCATTTTGTCTAAATATTGTTTCAAAAACACTTAATACCCATTTTAATTAACTAAAAAATATTTTTATTTTAAAATCAAATATACAAACGATATATTAAAAGTTTAAAATATTATTGACAAACATTTTTGTTATTGGTCATTTTAAACCATAAACATAAATTTTACACGAACGCGTCTAATAGGTAAATGTTTTGTTTGAGTTAGTGAAAAAAAGAGAGAGAGAGAAAAAAATAATGCATCGACATTCTCTTAACAAAAATATCTAGTCTAATTTAATTAATGTCTAAAAACTAACCTTTTGAATTACATTTGTTCAAAAATTCTCTTAGACAAATAGTTTTAATTTGAAATATGATTTTTATTTTCAAAATTCAATGGATTTATCTCTGTTTGAAATTGTTTAGAAACAAATATTAAATAATAAAATTAAATACATTTTACAGACGTTTAATGACAACCACGTTTTTAATATTAATTATTTTACTGAAAAGGTTCAACTTGTATCAGTTATCATACTTGCACACAATAAATAAAAAACAGTACAAATATTTATTAAATGTTCATAATAATAGTAATAAAAAAATAATAATATTTTTAATGTGAAACGAAACTGCACGTACCGCTGGCACTATATCAACTGAAATGTTAACGATCGTTTTTTCCTAATATAAATTAATAACTAGTTCATAATATTCAATAATGTACCATTCATTAATCGTTGATTAATTAAGTTGTATGAGCGTAAATTATAATATGTTAGAAAAGGTGAAAAGATAAGGTAAGACGATTAAAACATGTTTAACAACGGTTAATCATTTATTACCGATAGGTACCTAAAAAGTAAAAAGACTTGAAAAACACTCAATATGCTGAATTATTGCATTTCATAACTGATGGCAAACTAATCTCGTGTTCCAGACTATTACAGTTGGTATATAGAACAGAGGTATCTTATTTAAAATGTATCATTATCCCTCTTTTCTTGGTACTTAGTTGATCCTTTTCAATGGGTATATAATAAAAAAAAATAGTTATTTAATATAATTATTTTTTATTGCGAAAATTATATAAATTTAAAAACACGACAAGAATAAGACATAAGTATACGTTTGGACAGACTTCGATAGAATATTAATAAGAACAATGTTTTGCATATTTTATTGTACCGTGATATGTCATACAAAATATATTAAGGCTATACTCAATAATTGTTTTTTAACTTGGTGCAGTGAACTTCAAACAAATATTTGATAAGTATAATATAAATTTTAAAGAAACTATTTCATAGCTTTTTTTAGAATTTTAATTCTAAAAACTATATATATTATTTCTACGTAAAAAGTAAAATTTCTATTCAGTACAAAAATATTTTAAAAGCGTTTAATTAAAGCGATTTTTCTTATTTTTTCCTTATAGTTTTGCGTGACGGGAACGTGATATTAATTGAGTGTTAGATGTTTGCGTATGTATATAACTTGTTTTACGGCCTTGTCGGCTATTTTTCATTGCATTCGATCGTTTTAAAATCTATAAAACATGTATACGGGTATATTATTCAAAAAAACAACCAGGGATTCGCGAGTTGGTTTGTGCTTGTATATGACGTTATTATTGTAAACGATTGCCTAACATGATATTTAAAATTATTCAAAAATGTAATAGATAGATCAGATAAATGCAATTTCAAATGTTTACATTATATTTAACTATACGGCTAATAATATTTTATCGCTATAAAATCATAAAATCATAAAATGTGAGTATTTATATAAAATTTTAAATTAGTTAGTATTTAAAATCTAAAAAATTAAAAACGTTAAATTTAGTTTTATTATTATTATTAATTTATTAACACATTTTTCAATTATTGGTTACATAATATGACTTGAATATCAAATTTAACAATAATCCATACGGCAAACAGCCTTGGTTGGGAGGTGAGTACTTTGAAGAGGATCATATAAATGTACATTAATTTTTAAATATACGGATTTTATGGATTTAGTTCCATTACTTATTGGTCACACCTCGTATCTGATATAGATTAAAATTACTTAAGTTCCAATTTATTTTATTGGATATTACATTTTGAGCGTAGTAAGTTTTTATAAATGCTACCTTATAATGTATATTTTAATATTTGTGGATTAAATGGAATTAACAGCTATATTTACCTTTATTCATCACTAATTTACATTCAAAATTTTAACTATTGTTTACTGTACAATTATAGGTAATTGCTTTTAAAATATATTTTTACTAAATAAAAATGTTATAAACGTAAATTTTGTCTAAAATTTATTCGAAGTTCACGGAATTAAAACGAGGAATAATTATTGAGTATTGTCTTAAATTTGTTCCGTATAAAAATAGAAAAATAATTATTTTAAGTTCAGCTACAATATACCTACTTACTACGGAACGTCAAGCAAATTTAAGGTAATATTTAAGCGAAGTATGCATGTCATTAACTCGATTATCAGTAAATTATTATAAGACAAAACAAATATAAATAGGTAGCTTACATAGAACGACAATGGATTATTTAGTGAATCTTGTTCAGCATATTTTATTTAAGCTATTACGCATAAAATAAATTTCTATTGTAAATTGTTTTAAATATTTTGTAATCCTCAGTAAATATAAATGGTATAATATGCAGTATAGATTATTTTAAAGCATAATATCCTTATGTTAAACGCTAATATAAGTATCGCTATAGAAAACTTTAAATATGGTTGAAAAAATTATTAAAATATTTGAGCAGATTATGTGAGTATTTAAGATTTTTAAATTGACAGATGAGCTCATTTATCGGAAACTCTAAATTTGAATTGATTATAGTAGAATAAACTTGCGAATTAAGCTATTAGATTTAATTGCATTTTATTCGATTTAAACGCGTATAATATAGGTGATTAAAAATATATTATATATTTAGTTTATTTCTATACTAGATTAACTTCAAAAATACGTCATAACACTCATAATAGTATTACGATTCAGCTGTTTATTTACGTAATTTTATCAATTAGAGTTTCATATAATTGTAATATAATAGTATGTGAATTAGTTTTACTATATTTTAGTGTTATTAAATTTTTTAATTAAATACATTTGTTTGCGTATTATACAATACAATATAA